CCCCCCACCCCACCCTTTACTCCTTCCTTGCTTTGCTTTGCAAATTGGCGCCATCTGCTCGGCAGCGAACCTCACTCCTTTGATCTAAGCCAGTGGCGGGCAATCTTTTGGCCCCCAAGGGCTGTAGTTGAAAAGTGTGCCATGTTCCATGCCCATCACGTCAGATTTATATTCTCCTCTCTGGAAGGCTGAAATTCCATTTTGTTACTCTCACACCTCAGTTGGTCAGCTTTTGCTGGTGCCTATCAGCTGGATGGGGGGCGGGGGGCGGTGAGGCACATTATGAATTGGAGAAAGGACTCCATCTATATACTCTCATCTCTATTCCATTCAGGCTCCATCACACAGACCCAGATGAATTGTAATGTGGGATTTCAAGGAGGTGGGCATGGTGTGGGTGAATCCCTAATGTTCCATTCCATGAATCATCCTGGCAAACAGTTTTGTGGCTAGCATACATTTGAAAGTAAGGAATTCAGAAACAGCAGCTTGTTGAAACTTGTAATCTTCAGGGAAGACATCGAAGGACTGCAGTTTATCCACATCACATAGCTTAAATTTGAAGTCTCTGTAACAACAGCCCTTTCCCCAAAGTAAAGAGATTCAGCTTTCTCTCTGCAGCTTCCCAGGGATCTCATCTTTGCTGTACCGCTGTGGCTATAAGGAGGGGGCCAAAATAAGGACATTGCCTTCCCACTAAGAATTCTGCTCCCCAATGACATTTTCCTTCCATTCTCAAATTCTCTAGCATTGTCGCAACTTAAAATAGAGCTTAGGGATCCATAGAAAAGGGGTAGGCAACGTTACCAAGGGAATGTGAGCACAGCAAATATAAGAGTTCTAGGTCTGAGCAATTTTGGCTCACTCTCTGCAAAGCTAAAAATTTGAGAAGGAAAATGTCATGTGGGAGGACTGGATTTTTTTTTAGGGTAAGGACTTCATCTTGCTTCTCTTAACTATACCTCAGGGGTTCTGAGTTGACCCTGCCTATATTGATGATTGATTTTGGCTTGTCTCATTTGAATTGTTTCCTGTTGTAAATAGTTATGAATAGACACAATCGGAGCCCCCGGTGGCGCAGTGGGTTAAACCCTTGTGCTGGCAGGACTGAAGACCAACAGGTCGCAGGTTCGAATTCAGGGAGAGTGCGGATGAGCTCCCTCTACCAGCTCCAGCTCATGCGGGGATATTAGAGGCAAAGATGAAGTATTTTGGCCACATAATGAGAAGACAGGAAAGCTTAGAGAAGACAATGATGCTGGAGAAAATGGAAGGAAAAAGGAAGAGGGGCCGACCAAAGGCAAGATGGATGGATGGTATCCTTGAAGTGACTGGCTTGACCTTGAAGAGGCTGGGGGTGGTGACGGCCGACAGGGAGCTCTGGCGTGGACTGGTCCATGAGGTCATGAAGAGTCGGAAGCGACTGAACGAATATTCAACATAGTTGGAGTCCAAAACACCTTTAGGGCCACAGTTTGTCCATGCCTGGTACATTTATTTATTTATTTATTTATTTAGCAGTTTTGTATACCGGTCTTCTCACCTCCGTTCGAGGGACTCGGGCCGGTTTCCAACATCAATATTACAGACAGTCATTAAAACATCACATTCTAAATCACACTAAAACATTAAAATAGCAAAATACAATCATATAATTACAGTGGTCAGTCATCATCAAAAATCATTATTCGTCGTCATTCATCCATATCACAGGATCATGGCTCATTCGTCGAATGCCTATCCCCAAAGCCAAGTTTTCACCTGTTTCCTGAACGTTAAGATAGAAGGGCAGTTCTGATCTCCAGTGGAAGGGAGTTCCAGAGTCGAGGGGCCACCACCGAGAAGGCCCTGTCTCTCATCCCCACCAGCCGTGCCTGTGAGGCCGGTGGGATCGAGAGCAGGGCCCCTCCAGACGATCTTAGCAATCTTGATAGTTCATAGGGGAGGATACGTTCGGACAGGTAAATTGGGCCGGAGTCGTTTAGGGCTTTATAGGTTAACACCAGCACTTTGAATTGTGCTCGGAAGCTGACTGGCAGCCAGTGGAGTTGGCGCAACAGAGGAGTAGTATGCTCCCTGTACCCCGCTCCCGTTAGTAGTCTGGCTGCCGCACGTTGGACTAATTGAAGCTTCCGGGCAGTCTTCAGAGGCAACCCCACATAGAGAGCGTTGCAGTAATCTAAACGGGATGTAACCAAAGCATGGACCACCATGGCCAAGTCAGACTTCCCATATGGAGAAGACACACCAAGAAGAAACACCAAGTCCCAAACAATATGTTCTCCCACAGTGAGGACATCAGTTTCCAGACCAAAGGTGGTCCGGGTCAGGGTTGGCTTGACTGCCTTCCTCTCCCTTTCACCCTCCATTCCTGCCTCTTCGAATTCTGCAGCACTGCTGGTCACAGCTGACCTTCTTATAGCAACACCAGAGGCACTCCAAGTTCTAACTACTGGTCAAAGGACATTTAGTATAATGCCAAGTTTTCTAAACTTTGTGGGGTTTAAAAAAATACAACTGTACCTTCGGTTTGCTTCTGATACAATAAAATATCTGGCAATGGGGACTCATAAAATCCAGTTTAACGCAGAAAACCTGGGATCAGATCCTGGAATATAGGGTCTGTCTGAAGGGTCCCATATGGCAGTGTAGATCCAGTATCAGTGTGCCCCCCCCCCCCCCTAGATGACACTGGGTGTAGAGGACTACGGCTAAAGCAGTGGTTTCCAACCGTCCTCATGCGTGACTCCATGACCCAAATTTTGAGGTTGCTTTTTTTTTTTTTTTTTTTTTTTTTTTTTTTTTTTTTTTTTTTTTTTTTTTTTTTTTTTTTTTTTTTTTTTTTTTTTTTTTTTTTTTTTTTTTTTTTTTTTTTTTTTTTTTTTTTTTCTTTTTTTTTTTTTTTTTTTTTTTAATATAATTCCTCATGTTGTGGTGACCCCCAACCATAAAATTATTTTCCTTCCTACTTCATAACTGTCATTTTGCTCCTGTTATGAATCATAATGTAAATATCTGATGTACAGGATGAATTCTCATTCACTGGACCAAATTTGGCACCATTACCCGAACGCTCAAATTGGAATACTGGTGGGGTTGGGGGGAATTGATGTTGTTATTTGGGAGTTGTAGTTGCTGGGATTTATAATTCTCCTGCAATCAAAGAGCATTCTGAACTCCACCAATGGAATTGAACCAAACTTGGCACACAGAACTCCCATGACCAACAGAAAATACTGGAAGGGTTTGGTGGGCATTGACCTTGAGTTTTGGAGTTGTAGTTCACCTATATCCAGAGAGCACTCTGGACTCAAACAATGATGGATCTGGACCAAACTTGGCATGAAAATATGCCCAAATGTGAACACTGGTAGAGTTTGGGGGAAATAGATCTTGATATTTTGGGCAAATAAATTGAAATTGAATCCAGACAAGACAGAGGTACTCCTGGTCAGTCGCAAGGCCGAACAGGGCATAGGGTTACAGCCTGTGTTGGACGGGGTCACACTCCCCCTGAAGACGCAGGTTCGCAGCTTGGGTGTGATCTTGGACTCATCGCTGAGCCTGGAACCCCAGGTTTCAGCGGTGACCAGGGGAGCATTCGCACAGTTAAAACTAGTGCGCCAGCTGCGCCCGTACCTTGGGAAGTCTGACTTGGCCACGGTAGTCCATGCTCTAGTCACATCCTGTTTAGACTACTGCAACGCTCTCTACGTGGGGTTGCCTCTGAAGACTGCTCGGAAGCTTCAAATGGTCCAACGATCGGCAAACAGGATGTTAACAGGAGCGGCACTCAGGGAGCATACTACTCCACTGCTGTGCCAGCTCCACTGGCTGCCAATTTGCTACCGGGCACAATTCAAAATGCTGGCTTTAGCCTTTAAAGCCCTAAACGGTTCTGGCCCGACCTACCTGTCCGAACGCGTCTCCTCCTATGAACCAGTTAGGACATTAAGATCGTCTGGGGAGGCCCTGCTCTTGATCCCGCCGGCTTCACAAGCACGCCTGGCGGGGACGAGAGACAGGGCCTTCTCAGTGGTGGCCCCTCGGCTGTGGAACGCCCTTCCTGCAGATATTAGATCGACCCCCTCCTTGCTGGCATTCCGGAGGAAAGTAAAGACCTGGCTGTTTGAACAGGCATTCGACTAAGCAGTGTGATTGATTGACTGACTATTGGAACACGGAATATCGGATAACGAGTTTGGATTCTGATTTCATTGATGAGACCTGATGGATTTGTTATATTGATGTAGTGATGTATTGATATTGATGTTTAATGATTTGTGATGCTATTGCTTTTAAATGCTTAATGATTTTGTATTGTGTATACGCCCCCGGTGGCGCAGTGGGTTAAAGCACTGAGCTGCTGAGCTTGTTGATCGAAAGGTCGCAGGTTCGATTCCGGGGAGCGGCGTGAGCTTCCGCTGTCAGCCCTAGCTTCTGCCAACCTAGCAGTTCGAAAACATGCAAATGTGAGTAGATCAATAGGTACCGCTCTGGCGGGAAGGTAACGGCGCTCCATGCAGTCATGCCGGCCACATGACCTTGGAGGTGTCTACGGACAACGCTGGCTCTTCGGCTTAGAAATGGAGATGAGCACCACACCCCAGAGTCAGACATGACTGGACTTAATGTCAGGGGACTACCTTTACCTTTACCTATACCTAAATTGTTGTAAACCGCTCTGAGTCGCCTAAGGGCTGAGAAGAGCGGTATACAAATAAAGTAAGTAAATAAATAAATAAATAAATAAATACTGGGATGTATACACCTACAATCAAAGAGCATTCTGAACTCCACCAATGACAGAATTGGGCCAAACCTCCCACATAGAACCCCCACGACCAACAGAAAATATTGTGTTTTCTGGTGGCTTTTAGTGACCCCTCTGATACTCCCTCATGACCCCTCCAGAGGTCCCGACCCCTAGGTTGAGAACCACTGGGCTAAAGAGAAGAAGGCAGCCTTTAGGACCCAGGAGCCCCCTCCCCGTCAGGCTGGGATTCTCGGTGCAGGGCTGTAAATTCCTCCTGTCAAGGCAGCGGAGCCGCGGTGGCGGCAGCAGGAGCAGCAGGAGTCGCATCAGCCGGGGCTTGGGAAGCTCTCTGGCCCCGTCTGGCAGCAGCCTGCTTCTAGACCATGTGGGGCGGGCGGCATTGGGGGCGGCCAGTGGGACTGCTTTCTCGCCTCCCCTTCGCCCCGAGGAGGGACCCGCTCTCTGGGCACGGGATGCCCCCGCCTGCCGCCCCCGCTGCCCGATGCCGCCCGATGCTGCTGCTGCTGCTGCTCCTCCTGCTTTGAGCGCCACTGCAGAGGCCGGCCGGATCCCTGCCCGACGAGGCTTTCCCAGAGGTGAGTCCCAGAAGGGGAAGGGTGGCGGGCTCCCAAGGAAAGCCAGCCCAGGGAGATCGGGTTCAAGCTTCCGAAGGCGTCCTGCGAGGCCATGCAGCCCAGGCACGGCGCTCCTTTTCCTCTCCAGGAAGGCGCTGGGGATCGAACCGGGTCCTGAACTCGCTCGGGACTTGGTGTCTTCTCCATATGTACCAGGCAGGGGCAAACTGCGGCCCTCCAGGTGTTTTGGACTCCAACGATGTTGTTGATTCCTTCAGTCGCTTCCCACTCTTCCTGACCTCCTGGACCAGCCCACGCCAGAGCTCCCTGTCGGCCGTCGCCACCCCCAGCTCCTTCAGAGTCAAGCCAGACAGTTCAAGGATGCCATCTATCTATCTATCTATCTATCTATCTATCTATCTATCTATCTATCTATCTATCTATCTATCTATCTATAAGCTTTGGGTAGCATAGGGAAGGGTTACACTCCTTTGGATAGCATAGGGTGCTTGTTTTGCACTCTGAGCCCCTCTTCAGAAGATTTTCCCTCCCTTCCTGTCCCTGTGAGAATTGGGTTTTGAAAAAATATGGCTTGCTGTGGAAACAAAGATGGGTGAGAAACCTTTTCCCCATGATAACTCTTCCAGGAACGAATTTCCCTTCCAAGGGGTAGTTTCTCACACTTCCTGTTGTCTCACCCTTGTTCTTAACTGTGGGTTGTTTGTAAGTCAGGTGTTTGTAACTCAGGGACAGATGGCTTGTATATACATCGCCCCAGGTTTCTGCAGAAGCTGCATGGCTTCATTCAGGTAATCCCCAGCGGCAGGCAAAGGCACCCTGAGCAGGGCACAGAGGTGAGAGTCACCAAGCACCCAGATTGGGTGTTTGTAACATTGGGGTGGCCTGTATACACATTGCCCCAGGTTTCCACAGAAGCTGCGTGGCTTCATTGAGGTGATCCCCAGCTCCAGGCAATGGCACCCTGAGCAGGGCACAGAGGAAAGAGCCACCAAGCACCCAGATTATATATATAATACTGTTATTGTACTATGCTAATATATATATATATATAGTAAGCCGCTCTAAGTCCCCTTTGGGGTGAGAAGGGTGGCATATAAATGTCGTAAACAAATAAATAAATAATAAATTGGGTGTTTGTAATTTTGGGGTGGCCTGTATACACATTGCCCTAGGTTTCCACAGAAGCCACATGGGTGCATTCAGGTGATCCCCAGCAGCTGGCAAAGGCACCCCGAGCAGGGCACAGAGGTGACAGCCACCAAGCACCCAGATTGGGTGTTTGTAACTTTGGGATAGCCTGTATACACATCACCCTAGCTTTCCACAGAAGTCATGTGGCTCTATTCAGGTGATCCCCAGCCCCAGGCAATGGCACCCTGAGCAGGGCACAGAGGTGAGAGCCATCAAGCACCCAGATTATATATATAATACTAATACTGTACTATGCTAATAATATTATATAATATAATATATAAAGCCGCTCTGAGTCCCCTTCGGGGTGAGAAGGGCGGCATATAAATGCTGTAAAGAAATAAATGAATAAATTGGGTGTTTGTAACTTTGGGATGGCCTGTATACACATCGCCTTAGGTTACCACAGAAGCCACATGGCTTCATTCAAGTGATCCCCAGTGGCATGCAAAGGCACCCTGAGCAGAGCACAGAGGTGAGAGCCTCCAAGCACCCAGAGAAACGCCAGGGTCCCTTGCCAATTGCCAGTCATTGGCAAAGAAATGACCGGGAGATGGTCTCATCACGATGGAGAAGATACTGCTAGAAACGCCTTCCTTGGTCATGCTTTCTGGCCAAAGGTCTGCTAACTTCACCTGCCTCTGGTTTAGAGCACCGCTTCTTCAACTGGGGATTCCGACCTCAACATTGAGCGGGTCCCCTCAGTTCAATGTTGGGCTCACGAAAAACAACAACAAAAAACAACAACAACAATAATGTATTGTCGAAGGCTTTCATGGCTGGAATCACTGGGTTGTTGTAGTTTTTTTCAGGCTATATGGTCATGCTCTAGAGGCATTCTTTCCTGACGTTTCGCCTGCATCTATGGCAAACATCCTCAGAGGTTGTGAGGTCTGCTGTGAGACCTCACAACCTCTGAGGATGCTTGCCATAGATGCAGACGAAACGTCAGGAGAGAATGCCTCTAAACATGGCCATATAGCCCGAAAAAACCTAAGGTAAAGGTAAAGGTTTTCCTCTGACATTAAACCCAGTCGTGTCTGACTCTGGCGTGTGGTGCTCATCTCCATTTCTAAGCCAAAGAGCCGGCGTTGCCCGTAGACACCTCCTAGGTCATGTGGCCGGCATGATTGCATGGAGCGTCGCTGCCTTCCCACCAAGGCAGAACCTATTGATCTACTCACATTTGCATGTTTTCGAACTGCTAGGTTGGCAGAAGCTGGGGCTAACGGCGGGTGCTCACACCGCTCCCCCGATTCGAACCTGCAACCTTTTGGTCACCAAGATCAGCAGCTCAGTGATTTAACCCACTGCGCCAAAGAGGCTCCTTGAAAAAACCTACAACAACCCAATAATAATAATAATTATTATTATTACTTGATTCTTATACCCAGTCACCATCTCCCCGAAGAGACTCAGGGCGTCTTATATATAGGTCAAACACACACAAAACATAAAAGCAAAAGGTATCTGAATACCCATTTACACCCATCTGTCAGCAGCAACTTTAAGTGTTTACATTGAATTCTGCGGAAAGCTATACGCCACAAAAAGGGAAATTGGCTTGTTTAGCAAGCCTTGCGAATGCTGGCTTGTAATCAAATGTCTGATTTGTATACATATTTTATACATTTAGGGTCATGTAAAAATCATAAGCAGAAAAATATTGAGGAGTTCTGATTTAGAGCATCTCTTGGAATGAACGTTGGGTGGAAATGTTAAGAGAAGATTATAAGGAAACTCCCTTTGTCATCTTCATAGGCAGGTGAAAGTTTGTTTGATCTGGGAGAAGCATAAGTCATTCATTGTATCTCTAAACCTCCTTGAGACTCTGCAGAATTTATGGGTGATTTGTTCTTAATTGCCATCGAGTCAGCTTCAGTTTATGGCAGTCTAACAAATGAGGCTTCCAAGTGACATCAAATGAAGGCTGGATCTACACTGCCCTAGATCCCAGGATCTCATCCCAGATTATCTGCTTTGAGCTGGATTATATGAGTATATCTGGGATAAACTGATGATCTGGGATCAGATTCTGGGATATAGAGCAGGGTAGGCCCAGCCTGAGGTCTTGCAAACTCAGAATTGTGGCTTATTTGACTGAGGCTGGCTCTACACTGCCATATAATTCAGTTTAAATTGCATTATCCAGTCTGTGTAGACCAGTGGTTCCCAACCAGTAGTCTACAAGAACTAAAATATAGTTCACAGCCTCACCACAACTAGTCTCACAAAAACCTGTCATAGTGCTGAGGCTTATTAAATATGGTTTTCTGTGGGCGAGCAGATGGCGACTACTGGATGGCATATGTTTTGTATTAGAAACTAGAGTTGATGTGGTCTGTCCAATGCAGTTTTCTGAATCTACGCCCCAAATAACCAAACCAAATTTAAAGTTGACCACAAACTGATTCATAACCCTTTTGGTACTAATGTTGGAGAGTGGTTCCTGGTCAAGTGGACCCTGGTCAAAAAAAACTGCTGCTCTGGACCAGAGTGAAGGGGGGGGGGGCATTATAATTAGTAATTATAATATTACTAGTAATATTACAATATAATGGTATAATACAATATAGTAATATAGAATACTGATATTGTACTATGCTAATAATATAATATATTGTATGTATATATATCTTGTAAGCCGCTCTGAGTCCCCTTTGGGGTGAGAAGGGCGGCATTTAAATGCTATAAATAAATAAATAAATAAATAAATAAATAAATAAATAAAAAGGTTTGGAACTACTGGTTGGAAACCATATAATGCAGTTCAGTAGAGTTCAAACTGCATTATATGGCACTGTAGATCCAATCATGGTCTGTCCACCTGAGATGCAATGGTCAATGGTCTTCTATTTCTTTATAGAGTCTGAAGTAATCAGGATAAGAGTCATGATTTATTTTAGGGCTTGACTTCTCTCATCCTCTTACATGAAGTGAATATCTAATGTCCACTCAGGCAAAGAGACTTCCCAAGCTGAACTACCAGAAGTAGTTATGTATTTATCTACACACACCTTAGATGCAAAATCCAAGATACGTCACAATGTAAATGAATAACCCCTTTCTTCCCTTTAACGATCACAAGTATCTGACGAATCATTAAGGGATGGGTTTTCTTTGCATTTTCAAACAGCAGAGTGGTAGAAAGAGGGACCGTGAAGTAATTTTTCCCTCTGCTCCTGACTTCACTAAAAGTGTCCCTTATGCTGACGATGATGCTCTCAATAGTAACGATATGGGTTGCAAGGTTTGCTGAGAATAATCACTATGAAGGGCTTTAAATGCCTACACATCTATATAAGTTTTCCTTAATATTACTATTGATGTGCAGTGTGGACATAAGGACACTCTCACCATACATATATCCATGTTTCAGGAATGACCTTGGATGTGGAGTGGTAGGTTTGCAGTGGGAGGGGAGAATGCATCCAAAATGGAACAAAGTAGATCAACCCCTCTGTGCGTGCACATGCAGACATACACGTGTCCTGGAGAGGCTTTTGAACCTTGTCGGGGAGAGGGGGTGGCATTCTCCTTGGGTGAATATCCTCATACAAACATTGCCTTGGATACACTCATTATGCAATATGCTTATTTTATTAGACACATAGATATGGAGTCATAGAGCATAAGTGATTACCAATGTTGAGCCGAAGTGTTTTTTGAAAGATTGAATTAATATGAAGTGGAAGAATAAGACTTTTTAAACACATAGCATTGGACTGAGATTGTCTTCAAAAGCATGCTGAGCTGCTGTTTCTGCTCATGGTGAATGTATGAAACAACTTATTAGCCACTAGCTGTAT